GCCTATTATGTTTTTTTTTCGCAGTAGATTTCAAAGCATTCGGTTTTGTAGTTCCTGAGTAAATCAATAAAATAAATTTACGCATTCATTGTTTTTTTTTGAGTCACCCGGTATATGCAAATTCAAAAAAATGATTGGGATGAAATTACAAGTACAGACTCATCATATTTTGTACATTCTAGATAGGATTTATCCGGCAAACTTTTGAGCTGACGTCATCAGTTTTTTGGAGAAGATAAAACATCTGCAAGATTTCAAAACATTACAATACTTCCTTTGCTTACGTTCGGGAAGTAAAAAGAATTGTATCGGTTGCTACCTGGTCACTCGTTGGTAATTTTTTTAAATACTAAATAATTGTACTGAATGTAACAATAGTTTACTAGCTGGAATTGCCGTTCACCTATAAAATAAAACCACTTCACCAACTGTTTTACTTCATTTTTTGTAAATAGGTATATAGCTTTCCATTAGATTTTTGTAGTAAAGTTAACTTTGGAACTACACTTTTTCATCAGTGATGACTGAATAAAATTATGAATTAATTTAAGTATAAATATACTACCTGTAATTTTATTTTTTATTTGATAATGACATTTGTAATAACTACCATCTTGAAAACGTAAATTATACTAGTTCTATTAAAGGACTCAAATTTCTATTAAAGCACTTAATTGGGGTGCTTTAATAGCTCGATTATGAACGCGAGGTATTAAAATAAATATAAAAAACAGGAATTTAATGATAAGTGGACACTTACTATGTAATTTGGTATTGAAGAACTTTGCTTAGCGACAAAACAGTTTGACTTTTGTATTTGAGTAGTGTCTAGGTTGTTAGGTAAATCGTTTCTTTTTTTAACTATGAAAATTATAGCACAATTTTACGTGTTATCAATATCATCATTAAACTGTCGTTTATTCGGATGCTCAAACTAAGTGATTATAACACTTTAGTCTACTTTAAAATCTGTTTTGTCTAGTTTTCCGTATATAATAATAATAATAATAAACTTTGTTTCCATCCGACAATTCTGTCCATATTGGACATAGCTACAATAATACAATACTTTGACGTGTTGATAAATTTACTAAATACTAAAAACTAAAAACCAACAAAATAAAAATAAGTAATAAGAAAAAACAATAAAACAAATATTTCACAAACAATTTTTTGCGGCTGGCCTTTGTTTGAAACTTGAAATGAAATATGTATATTAATAACTTGATTGGAAACACTATTATATAATCTAAAGCACTTAATTTGAACGCACAAATGCATAAAAAAGAACTCTAATGCATGATAAGTTATCAAATTCTCTGGCAATTCTAAAAATAAAACATGAAGTTTTCAACGTGGTACTTATCAATTGCAATATTTGTGACACAAAAGTTAATTCGTTATCAATGATAATTCCTAAGTCTGACAATTGATCAACTTGGATTAATACCTATTTATAGGCATTAACAAACAAAATATATCATTTTCTTTTTCGAAAGTAAACAATGTTGATATCTTTCAGTAGGGAACTCTGCAATCTTCACAACTCTTTGCTTTGGCTGCTAATACTACTGTGAAATCCCCATTAACCACACATTGTACCAAAATGTAAAATTCTGGAATTATGAATTCATGACATCGGCGTGAGTTTGCAAGGAGGGTCGTATCTAAAGTGCTTCATACTTACGAAGCATTTATTTCCTAATTAGAACTTGTGGTAGCTCAGTATTTTATTGTTTGTAAAAATAATACAATTCAAAAGTATGGGTATGGGTTCTCGAAGGGGCGGCAACCTCGGCGGTCATTGTGGCGGCTCCTGGGACTCGAAGCGTCGTAGGGGATGATAGTGCTACCCTGATGACGACGTCGGTGATGAGGTACAGGGGACCTAGACAGTGCGACCCTGATTAAGACGTCGGCGATGCGGCACAGGGGACCGAAAACGGTGCAACCCTGGTGATAACGCGGAGTTGACATGGTGCAGGGGACCGAAAACGGTGCAGCCCTGTGATGACCAGAAGAGGACTTAGACAGTGCAACCCTTGAGGTGGAGATGGTGGACAGTTAAGTGCGCTTCGATCTGTGCGGTGAGCACCAGAAGGGAACCTAGACAGTGCAAACCTTAAGGTGGAAATGGTGGACACTGAAGTGCGCTTCTATCTGTGCAGTGAACACCAGAAAAAGACCTAGACAGTGCAGCCCTTAAGGTGGAGATAAAAAGTGATCGCGGTAGCCCTTATATAGGCAGAGTTGAGATGCGTGGGGGTGCCTGCGTAGTAACCCACCAATAGGGCGAGGGTGGCCAGGATGGGGTGCGTATGGAGTAGGATAGTACCGCCTCTGATGACGGTGGCGCCCTCGACAGGGTACTAGCGGAGCGCATTGGAATGTCCGCCACAAATTACAATTCATAAAAACAAATTGGCGAATCCCAACCGAAATTCCTAGGTCAAACCAGCACTGAAACTGCTTTTTTGTTGGTCGAAGATCAATGTCATTCTAGGGCGTATTTCTACATTTATTACTATTATATCTATATTTAAAAGTATTATAACTCCATTAAACGTTGACTACCATCGAATCGGAAAGGTATTCATGAGGTTGTGGCGGCACAATAACACGTCGGTAAGCGGAGAAAAGATAAGTTGCCTCGTGGTCTAGTGATCTGGATGCTTGCCCGGAATGCGAGAGGTGTGGGTTCAATTCCCACCGAGGTAACAACATTTGCTACGTACACTGTGTCCCACTTTGAACTGAGAGCGTAGAAAACCCATCCCATAACAATAAAGTTTATATGGCAGAATTTGATGTGATTTTTTACATGAATTTGCACAATTTATGGAAAGTCCCTTACCTTTCCACAGCTATTCGTGTTCAACTGTAAAAGAAATTTTTCCTTAAATTTTTATATCTTTTAATTTGCACGTTTCTTTTGTCTTAAACACCTGATTCTAGCAATGTAATTGTGGTTGTATTCATGTCGTTATATTGTTAAACAAAAATCTTTCTTTATTACCTACCCAAAAAGTGTAATAGCCATTATTCCCGAGGACGCCCTTTGTGAAACAATGCTAGGCGAGTGAATCAAATCTTCAGAGTGAGTAATGGCTATCATTGCAAAAATGTATAATGCCACTCCGTAATAGTGAAAAAATCACGTAAAATTTAAAAATGTAGACTAATCTGCTTACAATTAAATACGGATATGATATATCAAATCTGCGGCGTCGCAGGAAGTCCCATACATGTTCAATTGGATTAAGGACGGGAGATAAAGGTGGAAAACAGGTTCCAATCATGGTGAGGTCGTGCATTATCATAAAAAAATAAATTTTGAGATCGACTAACATTGCCTCTGGGCACAACGGACTCCAGCACGACCTAAACGCCACCACTGTTTGAATGTATTAGGGAAGAAAAGATTTCCTTTTTGTCTGTATACTCATTTACGACGACTATTGTTACAATTCGTAGTGTTTGATTGTATCACTGTTAAAAAACTAAGAAAAATAGGTTTTTGATAACTGACAACGCCGCTATGAATTCTCTCATATATATAAATAAAATCAGTGAGCATAGATGTTGAATGTGCAAATCCGAATGTTTTGAAATCTTGCAGATGTTTTAAAGTTATGATAAGCATGATACATTTTTTAATCAAAATATACTTACTTATCCCCTACAAAAAATTGATGACGTCACCTCAAAATTTTGGCGTATAAATCCTATTTAAAATGTGCAAAATATGATCAGTCTATACATGTAATTTATCATTCCAAAACAAGAATGGCAAAACTGAATACTTTGAAATCTTGCAGACGTTTTTAAGTTATTGTAAGCATGGCAAATTGTTATTCAAAATATATCTGTTTATTCCCCCCAAAAAACTGATGACGTCTTCTCCAAATTTTGACGAATAAATTCTACCAAAGATGTGCAAAGTATGATGAGTTTTTACTTGTGATTTATCATCGCATTCATATTTTTTAGATTTGCTTAAACAGGTGGCTCGAAAAAATGTATGAATGAGTCAGTTTATTTTGTTGATTAAATCAACAACAGCTCACTTCATTTTTGCAGATAATTTTGGCAATACAATGCTGTTATTTTTAGTATTACACCGCACCAATCCAAGTTGATGTACGTGTCCTTGCAAAAATTAATTATATTATTAATTTTACCGAAACCCTATTTTGTATTAAAATATTTTAATTAAAAAAAATACAATTAGACCAAGACGTAACGGTGTACGTACTTTAACTATTGAATAAACAATTTTTTGAAACTTTAATTCGCTGTAGACTACTTTAGCTTTGAGTAAAATTTTTCTGAATCATTACCCAGCCAACGTCATTTATGCATAAATATTCAGTTTATTACTAAGGACAAAAATATTCCGAAAGTTCCACAACTGCGACCAATAGAATGCTTTTGTAATAATCTAAAGAGGAATTTATGTGAACATGGGTGGGAACCCTTCACACATGTAGAATTAAGCGGTGTGTATTGCTGAAAATTTGGCAGGCAAAAATATTGGCTTTTACAAATTTAATGCGCTGCGTTAAAACAAAAATTTGTGAAGCAAATTGATATGGTGGAGATTGTATTCCAAAAAGTTGTTTTATAAATGTTAAGAATTACATTTTTAATTCGTCATTTAATAATAAAGTTATGCTAATGTGAAATTTGCGCAGATTTTTGGTCCCTACACTCATATTTGATCCGAGTCGCAAAGTGTGAGTAATTTTCGGCGCCGTCCGACTCGTTAAATTTCAAACTAAAACAGTTACACTTACAGTAGCTGTGTTGTACAAGCTCAGACAACAACCCGTAAAATGGTATTAGTAACACCCATTGAAGGTTGTTAGGGATATGGGGTTGCCGGTCTTTTTACATACATAGTCACTGATAAAATGCAAAGCTGATGGGTTTCCTGTGCTATTTATTTAGATAGTTGTATACAAATCGTTGCATATGCGAGTATGTAATTTTTATTGTAGGAAATTGTTTGGAGTTTGGAGAACATACAGTAGAAGAAATGGAAACGAGTTTTTTAGCAAATGTTGTTCTTCCATTAGGAATGATAATATTAGTATTTTGGTGGTGGTTTCACTTATGTCACACCAAAAAATATTACAAAAACTTGCCAGGACCACCTACAGTACCTTTTTTTGGGAACGCTTTAGACTTCACATCCTCGGCAGGTATGCTTATAATATGTAGAGGGTTCACATATACAGTCTAGGTTGCTATGCACACACACGGAGAAAATCAAATGTAAATCGAAAATTAACGCTCAAAGTAAGAAATTCGCGTGATGGGTGCGTATTTACGTTACTATACATATGTACTATTTTTTGTTTTTTTTTTAGTTTTACCAACCAGTACGATTATTAGCGTAAATATTAATACTTTCAAACACACCTGTTAAATGTTGTTAGTTTTAACCTGTATTAAAAAAGGACATAACTTGCCCGATATAAGTTTATGGTTCTAACAAAATTTCATTTTTATTATGTTGTATTTCTGCAAATTCTCGATACTCAAGTTTACGTGTGCATACCCTAGATGATAGTTTTCCTTTAAATTCAAGTGACAGGATTCATCATTACAATATTTTGACTCTTAAATTTGCAAAGGTAGTACGGGGTGTTTAGAAAACAGGTACCTATCTTTAAATGTTGTAGAAGATTTAATTTGACAATGATCTCTTAATACCATCGACTTCGTTTTTTCTTTACTTTCAGCGTAATAGGTATTAAGTTTGATTTATTTATTATTTGATATCTTAAAAAATAATTAAGAAATTGTCTTAATTTAAGATATAAAAGCCAGTTTATAGAATATTTTAAGTTAGGTTAAGTTGGTCACGCATTTAACGATATATTTAGCACTGTAGAGTTTGTCAACTGGTACATTTTTGTTGCTAAAAATTGAATTGCAGTAAAGTATTTAATTTAAGAGATTTAAAATAGTTATTGTACATTTTAGTTATACTAAACACTATGTTGAAATATGTCAAAAATCATGGTGGACTTGTTAAGATGCAAATGGGACCAATAAAAAGAGTGTTATTAGTAGCTGACTATAAAATGTTAGAGTTTATATTGAGTAGTACTAAATTGCTAACAAAATCTTCAGATTATCAATACTTATATTCATGGTTGGGTAGCGGCTTGTTGATCGGCAGTGGTAAGTATTAGATATTTTTTTAATTTAAAAAATATTTTATTAATCAAATTGATTCAGGTCCAAAATGGAAGAAACATCGAAAACTGTTGACACCAGCTTTCCATTTTCAAGTACTAGAAAATTTTATTGAGACATTTGAGACTTGTGGAGATAAATTTGTTCAAAAATTATTAGAAGAAGTTGGAAAAACTAGTACTGACATTTATCCATTTGTTACCTTATGCAGCCTAGATATTATATGTGGTATGTGTTTTTAAAAAGTCTTTATCTTTTTAGAAATGATAAAAGAAATAAATGAAAGTAGAGTTAATACTTTTATAAAAATAATTGTGGCTGCACTACGACTGCTGTACTAGCTCTAAGGGTCAACCAAGGAAATTATATCATTTATTTACGTACAATTAATATTATATTAATAACTGCGATCTGTTTTCAGAAACTACAATGGGAATCAGTATAAACGCTCAGGATGATATTGGTTCAGAATATGTAAAAAGTGTGAAAGAGATGTGCAGAATTATCATCGAACGAGCAGTTCAACCTTTACAGATGCTTGATTTGACTTATATGTTAACTCGTAATTACCATATAGAGAAGAGAGCGATTCGTATTTTGCACGAACAAGCAAATAGTGTCATTAACAAGCGATATCAAGAGTTACAGGGACACACTAAAGACGATAATTCTGAAACCAAAAAAAAGAAAGCATTTCTAGACTTGCTATTAGAGGCTACCGTTGATGGACAACCGTTAAGTAAGGTTGACATAAGAGAGGAAGTTGATACTTTCATGTTTGCGGTCTCTATTTCTGTATGTGTTATATGTGTTATACAAGTAAAACAATTCTAGGGTCACGATACTACAGCTTCGGCTATTAGCTTTACGCTTTTCTGTCTTGCCAATTACCCTGATGTTCAGGTGAGCTAGTGAAATCATACCGTATACCATATTAGGTACCTACTTTATTCAGCAATCAGTATTTGAAGAACAAGAACTAATATTTGAAGGAGACAGAAAGCCTAATGTCAAATATGCCCATCTGCAAAGTATGAAGTATCTGGAACAAGTAATTAAGGAAACGCTACGACTTTATCCATCAGTTCCAATAATTGGTAGACAGCCGGATGTAGATTTAGAATACGGTATCTCATTCCTATTTATCCAATCATTTATTTGTGAAATATTATTTTTAGAAAATACCTGCATACCCAAAGGTTCTACGATATTGTTATTTCCTTTCGGTATCCACAGAAACCCAGACTATTTTAAGGATCCGTTAACGTTTGATCCAAGCAGATTTTTAAATGTTGATGGTAAATTTCCATACGCTTATATACCGTTCAGTGCTGGTCCTCGCAACTGCATCGGTAACAATTTCTTTAAATACCTACTTTTTATAAACAATAAATATTTAGGACAAAAGTTTGCAATGCTGGAGATGAAAAGTGTAATTTCGAAAATAATTAGAGAATTTAAACTTCAACCTGCAGTTCCGCACCATGACTTACAGCTGGTGGCAGAGACTGTTCTCAAGTCGGCCAATGGAATTAGCATATGTTTAAGAAAAAGAGAAAAATTTTAGCTATTGTGTAATGATTTCTACTTATACGTGTTCTTCTAAATAAAGTTATGTTCTGGATCATCGGTTTTTTATGGAGGGCTGGGCTGATAAGCCAGTTTATACTTAGGCCTTACTTCTTAGCCCACTGCGGTCTTCTGTTTAAAACCACAGTGCCATTGTTTTGCCCTAATCGTCAAACTGTTGACAATACTGGAGTAGATATTTAAGAAAATATAGTGGGAGATTATGAATTTGCTTATACTAGAATTACAAGAATTAATAGCGGGTAGGTTCCTTGGTAATTGCTAAAAGTTAACATATGAAGAATATTCGTCATTACATCTGTAGCAGATGTGGCCGGCAACCACTCTGCTTGTATGTGGGTGTGTCCTAAAGTTGTGATGGCTTAGAGAATTTCTGCCAGGATGCGTAGTTTCTATGCAGAAAGTGAGCAGTAATACCTGATGATTTTTTTTAATTCCCGAATTAAATAATTGACGAAACAAATTAGGTTGAAAGTAGCTCGCGAAAATTAAAACAAATCACAATTTAGGTTATTTTAAAACCCAAAATTGTAGGGACACCACCACAAGATAAATTGTATAAGTAAATAAGGTTGTTGCAAGTTCACTTATAAATTTTCCCAAAACGGACGCGTGAGACTGGTGCAGACACACTTTTAATTCTTTTTCTTCCTCGTTGTAATATCCACTAGTGTTACCTTCATGTAAGTCGAGCGACTGTTGTCATTGGTCGATGATTTGGCATACTGCTACTAATATATATTATACAGGGAATTAGCTCGGTTTTTAAAGAAGTGGAGAAAGAAAAGTAGGTAGTCTATATAAACTACATAACCAATTCCCAAATGAAAATATTACACACACAAGATCTTTTCGAATATATTTGCCCGCTTTCTTTTGCTATATTATTATTAATATACGAAAGTGGTAAATTAACCAAAATGATGTATTTACCACTTTCGTATATTGTTAATTTTTTTATCTTTCACATCTCCAAAATTCTTGAAAAGTGATACAGTCCAGTTCTTTAATAGGCAACACATTTTGTTATCAGAAAATGTGGAAACGTTTATTATTTATTTCTATACTATCTGTTGAGTATTTAAAACGAAAAAAAGACTTCTATATTTGTGTTACGAATTTATTTTGAAATTCGATGAGGTTCAAACTTGTAAAAAAAACACTAGATTTGATACTAGTAAAAATAAAAGAATTTGACTTGTACGTCTGTATAAGTAGTATGATTGAAATAAGACGGACTTGCGCACAACGGTTTTAATGTGCAAAATCCGCAAATTGACTACAAAATCTTGTTACTGCGTTCTCATGCCGTAGAAAATGGACAGAAAAAGTCATGATACCTACACATGTTGATCCCAAAACGTATGTTGCCTTAGCATACGGTCATCCTATCTAGGAATAAACAAATCTCTGCTTGTATCATGTCTTTGCATATATTTCCTCTTATCTTTTAAAAAGACGCTACAGAACCCAACCAATAAACTTGACATTTTTAACAACTTGGATACTACGACATTTTTATGCTAATGTCACTGGTTATTGTCCTGGCCTTCTTGATAGAATGACAGACTTATCTAGTGTACCTATATAGTAAAGGGTGTTTCAAAATGATTTTCATCTAGTTAGCTTTGAAATCGCTTCAACTCCTATCTTTCCCTTGATGAAAAGCTGCAACCAGGCGACTGGATGAAAATCATTTTGAAACACGTTGTACATATATATAGTAAGGGTAGAGCAAACGATGACACATGACAACAATTTTTGATCCAAAATTCTGTTAAATAAATGTCAAAAACACAGTAGCGTCGCAAGTGGACAAGATTTAGAAGAAATAATTAAAATGATTTTACTAAAAATCAAATAATTTTTGTTCTTTCTTGTCCAAAATTATCCAGTGATCCCTTACAAAATGCTCGCCACATACTCGCCTCTGTTTTGGAAGTTCGCCAGCATTTAGTTTAGTCTTCCGTTGGGATAGCGCAAAAGATCTCCGCGGAATGCTTCTAAAGATTTTTCCGTGTTCTGAACGGTTATGACAACCTTTTATACTGCAGCTGGTCATTTTAAGAAATTGTAAAAGTGACTGAATTACTCAAAAAAGTAATTCGTTGCAATTACTCATTACATTTTTTGAAAAGTGATGCATTACAATTACTCATTACTTGAAAAAGAATTGAACTACAGTACTGAATTACTTCCATCCCCTGGTTAAGTCGAAAGATCTAACAGGGTAATTGATGGATCCACTTCGCTTAATAATTCATTCAACAAAAAATTGAGAAAGGAAATTTAGATTTTTCCCATACTATGAAGGATTGTGCCATCCTGTTGAAAATAACCATTTTCAAGTTCAAAATCGTCAAATTCATTGATGAAAAGTAGCAAAATTTCTAGCTGGCATCTATTTGCATCCAAGTTACCTTATAAAACGAAACATAAGCTTAATAAAATTATAACAATTTTGCACCTCGGCCGAATAGACTGAAAGTCTATCTTTCCATCAAGGAGGCCGTGGTTATTGTCGTGGAGGTAGGATGACCGGAGGGCGCTTACTGCATTTAAGCAATGTAAAGAAACACCGTCAAAAGAGCCACGCAACAGCTATTTGTGACCCTTGCCGTACTAAATACATCGGAAGCGGTGACAACCGACCGCAGCAGAGGATCAGAGGCGGTGTACTTTGGTAGCGAATGGGTTCACAGGTAACAAATAATAAAAGATTTTGACCCTTACGCATTCATCACTTTTATCATTAACATCGATTAAATATATGTATGTACTTAATCAATACCATTAACTTATTACATGTTAATTTTTGTATTGTATGTCTAGCCTCCCGACAAGCGCTTTCGAGCACGCCACTGGAACAACCACTTTCTCGGAGGAGCAGGAAGAGCCATTTATGATCCCAGTAGAAAGCGCGGCATCAGGCGCTTTTTCGAACTATGTTCCCTCCTCTCGTTTTACCACCCTGGTTGCTGTGAACAGATTCATCGTAGTATCCGCTAGAGGGCGCTTAGAGTCTTAGTTGAAACTGAAAGTGTTTACATCGTTTTTATTCGTACGTTTTTCCACCCACTGTTTAAAACGTGTATAAGGGGCATCGTGTCGAAGGCGGTGCATGGGAGTTTTACCTCATTTAACTTTTAATTTGTTTTTTCTATGTTTCCACATTAATACGGTACGTCGGGATGCCGTGCTTACAATTATTGCATTTATTTCGAAATCACCGTCACCACGCCGTCAGATCTTATTTATTTATGAGGATGGTCTGAGACATTCTCGGACTCAGTGATAAAAAATGAATCTATCACTTTGAATTTTTGGGACGCTAAAGGAATTTTACTTATTGATTACCTGAAAAAAGGTAAAACAATAACGGGGGAATATTATTATTACTAGATAGATAGATTAGATAAAAAAATTCGGGGAAAAAGACCCGGTTTATAGAAAAAAAATCATTTTTCATCAAGACAATGCACCTGTGCACAAAAGTGTTATTGCAATGGGAAAATTGAGAGATTTAAAGTACGACTTGTTGGGACATGCACCTTATTCACCAGATTTGGCTCCCTCGGACTTCCATCTATTCCCAAAATTCAAAAAATTCCTAGGTGGGCAGCGTTTTGGGTCTAATTTTGAAGCGATTTGAGCTGTTGAGGCTTATTTTGCAGACCTTCCAGAAAACCATTGTAGGGAGGGTATAATGGCATTGGAGCATGGGTGGTTTAAGTGCATTACGCTCCAGGAAGATTATGTAGAAAAATAAAAATAGTTTCAAATTTATAAATCTGTTCTTTCATTGACAGGCGGCGAATTTCTCAGACCATCCTCGTACATTTAATTGTTACGTTCCGCAAGGTTGTAACCTTGCACCGCTCCAGAGCGCGACGCAAAAGATACTTCAGATAATAGTCCAATTACATGCATCGCCCTGTTCTAGGTTGTCTGGCAGGTGCCCATGATGTAGTGTGACTAGCGATGCTTTGAAATTCCCAAAAACGGTATTTACGAAAAAGCTAATGTGAACATAACAATTCCTCGAGTATTACTTCGTAGAGAAATACGTAAGCCTGAAGCCTGAATTGAACCATTAAGTTGTTGAATACTGAGGGCAGCCGGTTGATTTCAGCGCGGCGCAAAGTATACTGCGCCGACACTGAAAATATACAGCAACAACGTTCCTTTTGTATGCAATACATTTTTTTGATGATTTAACCCTTAAGTGCATACCGTATCATATATGATACATCTTCATTTTTAAACTAGTTGACCCATCTATGCGATGTTATAAGAACTAAAACGTGTTACACATTTGATACAATTACCGTTCATGGCGCCAATTTAAAAAATTGTACGTTTGCGTTTGTTTTTACATTTTTTTACCTTACTGGAACGTGCAATGGCTGCCGCATCACAGTTGACAATGTTTGTAAACTAATTGTGGTTCCACGTAACAAAGAAATAAATTTTTAAAATTGTTTCCGATTAACGGTAGGTATATACATTTCAAAAACCCATTTTATGGACTATTCTACGGGCAAACAACTCTGCCACCAACGTTTTTTGACTTGTTACATAAATGATACATTGCGTACTAAGGCAAAATTGTCTTCTTCTTTAGATGAGTCGGTGGTACGAAAAATTTAAAAATTAAAAAATTTAGAATTAATTGAAATGCCTATGGAAAGTGAAGATGAATATGAAAACGACAGTGACGACGAATGGGAACCAAATAGAGACGACTATTTGGATAATTCTCAAGATCATGAAGACTCTGTCACCGGAAGTAATGTTGATGATACTACTGCAGATGATGATATAAGCGAAGGGCCAGAAGATTTGAATGATCAAACAACATCAGCAACTACTTCTAGAAAAAACACTAACACAAGATGACATCAAAAAAGAAATATTATTTGGAAACGAGGCAACCTAACGTTTTCTGATACTGAAAAAACATTTTTGGGAAATGAGAATCTTCCATCCGAAATAATTAAACTAGAAACTCCATACCAATTTTTTCAATAGTTTTTTGGGGATGACTTATTGGAAGAAATTGCTCGAAATCTTCTACACATAGCACTCAAAGTAACCTCAACAAACCAGAACATGTAACTAAAGAAGACATTCAAAAATTTATTGGTATATGCATTTTTACTTCTATTTCATACTGCACAAATGTAAGGGACTACTGGGGAGAAATTACGGGTTCAAAAACTTGGATCAGCTCTACATTTCAACGACAATACAGAACAAGTTCCACGTGGACTGCCTGGACACCACAAAATTTTTAAAATTCGTCCAGTGGTAAACTACTTACAACGAAAATTTTTGTCGGTACTTGTGGAAGAGAGTTTATCAGTAGATGAGCAGATTTGTGCAACTAAAACTAGACATCACCTGAAGGAGTATTTACCTAATAAACCTCACAAATGGGGATATAAACTATTTTTTTTTATGTGGAGTGTCTGGATATGCATATAAATTTGAGATATATACGGGCCATGAAAATGATCCGAATACACGACCGATTGCCGAACCCGACTTAGGAGCAAGCGCTAATATTGTCCTTCGCTTAGACCGAGATATACCAAAATTTCAAAGAGATAAACTTTATTTTGATAATTTTTACACCTCTTTAGATCTTGTGATATACCTTCACAAACAAGAAATTTTACCTTTAGGGACAATAAAGGCGTAACAGAATACCCAACTGTAAATTACCATCGGAAATTCAACTCAAAAAAAAAATCTAGAGGTACCTCGGTAGAATATGTGACAGATGTTGAATCTGTGGAAGTACCATCTTTAGCATGGAACGACAACAAAATCGTACACTTGATGTCCTCATTTTGTGGTCAACTTCCTGAAACCCCAGTCAAAAGATTTGATAGAAAAACGAAAGAGCATATAGAAATAAACTGCCCTCAAATAATAAAAATTTACAATAAACATATGGGTGGCGTCGACGCGTTGGATAGCCACATTGGACGTCACAGGATTAAAATTAAATCTAAGAAATGGTATCTGCGAATATTTTATCATTTGGTTTAGCTGTGGTCAATGCTTGGCTATTTTATAAAAGAAGTGGGAAAGTAAAGACAATACAACCCAGTAACCAAAAAAAATTTAGAAGTGAAATCACACAGTGCCTATGCAGATTAGACAAATCTTCAGCCAAAAGAGGCCGTCCAAGCGGAGGGATTCAAGAGTCTCTGGGACTAAAGAAAAAAAGAAATCCAGCTGCTATAATTCCACCTCTCGACGTCAGGACCAACAAAATTGACCACTGGCCGGAATGGATAGAAAACAGAGGACGATGCAAATTTCCTGGCTGCAAAGGGTTAACTTATGTGCATTGCAACAAATGTAGAGTAAATCTCTGCTTCAATCAAAAATCGAATTGTTTTAAAACGTATCATATCAAATGAATTTTTGTATTTAAATGCATAATGTATCACATTTGCACATTTTTTAGTTTTTTCATATAAAAAATATTTGATAGAATTTTTTAAATATTTTTTTCATTATTGTTCTCGAGTTTGTAAACGGATTACATTTTTTTTTGAAGAAAATAAAAATTCATGCATTTAAGGGTTTTAAGCTAGTTATATTTGACAGCGGATCATATCCACTATAAACTGCAATTTAAAAACCGGACAAGCGGTTCTTAGCTACCCTTCTTCTGGTTGAATAAAAGCGACGCATGGCAAGCTGGTAGGAACAGCTTGGCCAACCCCTCGTAATGACATTGTAAAATTTTATTGTATACAAATACCAAGTATTTCTGTAATGACAGTAACTCCATGAACCGCGTGGAGACGCCACCCATGTCTAGTCCAATACATTGTAGAAACAAAATACCGGGGCATTTTTTTATCTCTGAACATATAAAGGTAGCTATGGTCTAAATCCCTGTGTTCAGTTTTAAAAAACAAAAATCAACGCAACGAAAATACAATAGGACACCTTGAATAACCTTTTTATTTATTAACTAAAAGTAATAAGTGATATTAAATTTGCAAAGAGAGAATAACAGCCCACGTGCATACGTAAGTTCACTGTTTAAAAAAAGTAATGGAAGAAGGTATATTGCAGAAATACCATTTAACTTTTTTATTTTGCATATTTGGCAGGTTTTTTATAGACAAAAAATGTAAGGAATTAGCTTTATTAGCTTCACTATTAAATATTCTTAATTTATTGAATTTTTCATAAATGAAAAAATTATGCGAGTTATCTCCTTTTAGCTGACTCAGCCTGTACATATACTGTATTTTGTAGAGATTGAATTTTCTTCTACATATTGCATAACTTGTTTAACTTCTTTTCTTCATTAATTAAAACATCGTTTCTTCGATTTCTTTAGTGGTGATTTAACGGACTGAATATTTATATTTTTGTAAAATATGTAGTTGACAATAGTGTTTTTTTTAATCAAGTAGGCAGACGTAACATTGGTTGCAAACTTTCAACTATTGATGTATGTTTTTTAAAACTGAACATAGGGATTAAGCTCATACGTCTTTTCATATGTTCAAAGTAAAACAATGTTCCGGTATATAGGTACACCATATATGATTTTGTAAAAAAAAATCGGTTGTCTGTAAAGTCGGTTTACTGACGATAGTTGAACGTGACAACGTCTTAAGAAAATACTGATGGAATGGTAGCATTTTTCAAAAGAAAATTTTAATTTCATTTGTTTAATAGATTTGTATGTATATAGAGAAGGAGGTAATTAGAAATCACAATGAAATTGATCAAGTTAGATTTATTTATACGCATAAATACAATTATGTCAATTTTTTTTTACAATTTAATAGTTTTTACAAGTATAAATGTGCGTTGAGCAATTGTTTTACAACTGTTAAACATGTGTAATATTTAATTTCTTACAATCTGTGTTATTCTGTTGAGAATAGGACGATGATAGGAAAAGTAGGAAATGAAAGGGAGTGTTTCGAGTTTAATGTGTCTTGAAAAAGTCAAATCGATGGTGGTGCCTCCTAGTGTTGTTGAGTTATTAACGTCTGATGCACAATCGACATTAAACATGTCTTTCATGAATTTGATGAATGTTTCGTCATTTTTCACATTTGTGTTGAAGTCGCCACAAAGAAGAATTGGTATATCGGTATCAACTTCCATGATGGGATGTACATAGTGGCTGTTATAAACATACGGAAGAAGGAGAGAGACGGATGGCGAACGCTGCCGAACGCGAAGGCCGATTGTGCCTCTTTGTCGCTCGTTCCGCGTTCTCGCTTGCACTTCAAGCCTTACATGGAACGCCTCAGAGCGAGGTAACGCCGCATGAGTCATGTTTTTTCGTGCGTGCAGCCGGCTCAATCGAATTATAAGACGTTGTCACGTCAAAATGAACACATGATTACCACTTAACTACTTATTGTTTATTGTCTGCTGTTACATTTTTGTAATTTTGTTTTTCTTGCAGTGCTAATACTTAAGAGTAACGAAGCCGACGAAAGGTATTTTTGACTTATTAGAGTTGCAATGCAGACTACATTTTATTTGCAGGTATAGATCTGGTTTGAGTACTGTGCAGCTCCACCACGACAAAAGCTAAAGTCAAAACAGAAATAAATATTTATTACGTTGAAAAAGTATAATTTTTAATTCCTTAGGTGATAGTAATTTCAATTTTTTTCATTTTTTTTTATGAAATAAATTATTAGGAATATAACAACCATGACTGTTGAAACAAAAAAAAAAAATTATGAGCTAAAGAGGGGTAATTAATAACGGTTTTGCGTTTCCATATTAACTAGCAAAACTTTTTTTCCACACAAAAACCTTGAAAACTGACATCGTTGGTCTTCACGGGTTAATTATTAGAATGCGAATTAATCGATCTCAAAATGAATCGGCTAAAAAAGTGTGTGATCGAGTATTCAAATAAAGGTCCGAAGTCAAGACCCACACGTGGTCTTGGTAATTCTCATTAAAACGACGTTATTGAAATTATTGTATTAAAAACTGGTTGCAAATGAGCAAATGTAAACAAAAAATGCAGCACCTTAAGTTCTTGCTACTTGTTTTGACAGGGTGATTATACCTAAGTTTACATTTGAACCCCTAAATATGTGTAGATGACGCATATTTTGTCGTATTTCTCCCATATAGTTAAATTTACCCATTTATTCTCAGATAGTTTGTAACCACAGATACAAACGTCGGGAACTAAGTTAATTGACAGAAAACGGAAGCAGAATGGAAAATGTAAGTAAGGCAAATGATTCATCAAGTCATTCGCCCTACTTGTATATTTTGGAGGCTTTAGTTAGTTAAAGCTTCCAAAATGTCTACAATTTTATACTTTACAGTTTATAGCCGATTAAAACGTTTTCGAGCAAAAAAAACACTCAATTCTAGAAACGTTTGTGAAAAAGAATAAGATAGAAATTCTATTTAAAGAATTCTTTTGTAATTTAATAACCTGGCAGGTCCACCGTTACATGCCTACGTCGATGCCTTAACGACTGGTCATTATCATTAGAAAGAAACGAGCCAACGGATGTCATTTATTGTACTTATTGGAAGTATTGCAATCGAGTCCTTCGACCGACTCTCTACTTTTACGTTTTCTCCACTTTTCATAACCTCTACAGTACGAAGAAATAGGTCTCCCGTTTCCGTCTGTCTGTCCGTCTGTCTGCCGTCCCGGATTTTTTTGAAACTGTACTATCTCTCCGACTTAGTGAAACAATAAAAAATTTATAAGACCACATACACATTAATAAATAGCCAGAAATTCAACAGACGCAATATTTCCATTTGATATCTATAAAAATGTGTTATCAGTCGCGTGGTGTAAGGTCACGATCAGAGGTGTTCGTTTTTCTTAAATTGTAAGATCTGTGATTTGGTGAAACAATGAAAAAATCTGTAAGGTCGTTTATAATGCGTACATGCAGTAATCAGCAGTTGGCAATTAAGCAAACGTAAATTTCCATTGGGTATCTATAAATGTCGTATCAGTTGCGTGGTATACGGTCACGATCAGGGGTATTCTACGTAACACATTCATATGCAATTAATTTTCCATAAACAATAATAATTAAGGCAAGTTAAAATGGTGGATATCTGTATTCATACACTATACGCATACAAATAACCATGAGTTTCTTGCTGACCTTGCGGGAATATCTTCGGCACTTCGCTGTGTTTTCCTCAAGTCTTGGTTCCATTCAAGTTTAAGCAATGACCATACTCGCTGATATAGGTTTAGCTGTGTGCATTGTAGTGTTAGTGTTGTGGTTAACGCGACAATTTAACAAAAATAAAGAATATTACAAAGACATTCCAGGACCACCACCGCTTCCTATTTTAGGCAATGCTTTAGAATTCGGTTCAACAACAGGTAAAAACGTACGGTTGCGGCTATAGAAAACTGGACCTCTTTGACATAACAAAGTTTTGGTTATTATTATTTTTTTAACCTTTGTCAAAATTATTTCATTTGACAGACAAAATATTGATTAAATCCTATCTTTTATTTTACAATTTAGAAGTGTGTATCAAAACTAGTTGTCCATTTTTCTGTGGCCGCGATTGTACCTATTAGAAATTTGGCACAAGGTAAAAATATTTTAATTTTAGAACTGTTGCACACTTTACATAAGTATGAGAGAAAATACGGAGAAATATACAAAATACAAATTGGTCCAGTACGTAAATTCCTAATAGTATCTGACTACAAATTTTTAGAATGTATTTTGAGCAGCATAAAACTATTAACTAAATCCGATGATTATTATTTCTTGAAACCTTGGTTGGGAACCGGTTTGTTAACTAGCGATGGTACTATTGTGTAATTTTTCAATGTATATATTTCACTTATTAATTTTACAGGGGTAAAATGGAAAAAACATAGGAAAATTTTAACACCCGCTTTTCATTTTCAAATTTTAGAGGACTTTATTGGTGTATTTGAAACATGTGGCACAAAGTTAGTGGAAAAGTTACAAGGAGAAATAGGAAAATCAACTGTTGATGTTTATCCTTACGTAACTTTATGTACTTTGGACATAATTTGCGGTAAATATTTTAATTATGCACCAATCAATTTAATTAACATTTGTTAAATCACTTGTCAGAGAGTACAATGGGAGTGACGATAAACGCTCAAGATGATGACCAGTCTGAATATGTCCAAAGCGTTAAAGCTATGACACGCATTCTTGTCGAAAGAAGTCTCTCCCCACTGCAGATGTACGATTTCCTATATCCTTTGACGAAAAACTATTACTCACAAAAAAAAGCATTGAAAATTTTACATGAAAAATCGAATACTATTATTACACAAAAATTAGAAAAGTTACAAAATAAAGAGACCAATACGGTCGAAGATGATGAATTCGAAATTAAGAAACGAAAAACTTTTTTGGATATACTTTTGAGCGCACAAGTAGATGGAAGACCTCTAACTCAAGAAGAAATAAGAGAAGAAGTAGATACTTTTATGTTTGAAGCAAGTAATTAGTGATGAACTGTGTGACAGATTTACAAAAATTATTATATTACAGGGCCACGATACTACAGCGTCAGCAATAAGTTTCACATTATTCTGTTTAGCAAATCATGAGCACGTTCAGGTACAGTAAAAGTTAAATAAGTGTATATTCCATCAAAGCAATTTTTAACTTTTGCCGCCTGCTAAAAATTTTACCATTTACAATTAGCTTCAAGTTTCAAAAAAATTGCTTTTAAACTAAAAATTGTGGTATTATGATAGACAATCATTTGTAAATACTTTGTATTTAACGATACGCTGTTAATAAATTTTATTTAGTCTGTTCTCTTCTAGGAAAAAGTATTTATCGAACAACAGGAAATATTTAATAGTAAACAACAATCTGCTACTACGTATGCAGATTTACAAAATATGAAATATTTGGAGCAAGTTATTAAGGAAAGTTTGAGATTATATCCATCGGTGCCTTTATATGGTAGGGAAACGTCGGACGAAGTGGACTATGGTATGGTTTTAAATGGGTTGTTAAACAGAGTTGTAGGAATAAATTTATTTATTTGTTCCGCAGATGGCATTAAGGTCCCTCAGGGGGATACATTTATGATATTTGCCTATGGTATTCACAGAAATCCCAAGTACTTTAAAAACCCTGAAATGTTTGATCCTGACAGATTTGCTGATATAGATGGAAAATTACCCTATGCCTATATACCATTTAGTGCTGGACCTAGGAACTGTATTGGTAAGCAAAAGACTTCTCTTAGCGTGTTTATCACATGCACTGAAATATTGTATCATACAGAGTGTAAAACTTAACAGGGAAATTCCTGTGGATACTTAAAAAAGATGCAGAAATAGGTTTTAAAATGATAACATAGAATATAAAAGCAGTAACAGTAAAATTTACTTAAGTTTTTATGTTGCTAGAAGTATTTTTTAGAGTAGCTTTTACACACAGCTTCGCTAGGGTGAATTTCACAATTAGGACACATTATTTTTCATCCTCTGATAGGGTTAACATAAATACTCATTTCCCTCGCACTCCCACAAACCCGTCTAACTTAAAAACTCACGAGACATACAAATTTCATCCCTTATTTTAGACCCTTAGGGGTGGAATTTATAAAAATCCTTTCTTAGTGGGTGTTTACATTACAAAAGGAACCTACTGTCGAAATTTCATGTTTCTAGCTTCAGTAGTTTAGGCCCTGTGCTACAGACATTTCTTTAACATTAGTTCAACAAGTCATGCTCTCCTCTGTCATTCTGCCTCCATAGTCCCATCTTACTTTGACCTCCACTGTATGTATTTGAAGTCTTTGGTCAGAAACATAAACACAAACAGTGTTCACAGAATTAAAAGTTTTGTTTACACTTTACTAATAATAATGCTTTATTCGCGGCTGAATCATTTTACAAAGTAGGTAGTTGAAGTCACATATTTATAATAATAGATCATTATGTTTAAAGACATAACACGAAACGTTAAGGAATTCAATATAACGCGATATTATATATATATACTTATTATTATTAGCAAAGTTAAATTTTCTTGGGACTATAAAATTAGATCCATAAACAGTTCTGTGACAAGATACATTGAATAACATTGGATTTTGTGACAAAAGCTTTGACATTTATTAGAAAACAATGTACTTTCTAGGATCGTTAAGAGCCCTAATTGTTATATCAAGAATCATTAAAAGATTTCATTTCAACAATAATTTCCTTCTATTTATTGGTTTCTCTTCCATGGTATTAATTATTATTATATCAGTGATAAATGATAACGGGAGATTTATTTTGAAACGATCGAGTTGCTCCTGCTAGTAATGTTGGTTGCATAATCATACCGTGGTTGTAGGATGAAGCAGCAATAGCGCAACAGTTTTAAAATATTAAATGAAACATAAATAGAAACAAAATATAATGCTCAGATAACATTCACTAGCTTGCAGTGAATGTAAAAATATAATTGAGAGCAAATAAATATACAAGCCGTTTCACCTGAAGTGGCCGATCACATTACTTCAAAACGTTATAGAAAATAAGTTCTACAATGAAAAATCTACGAAAATGCTAAACAATTGTAGATTAGATATGTATAAAAATATGTCGAAATTCGATCCTATTCCATTATACCGTATTTTTTACAGAATTTGCAGAAATAATTACTCATATTAAAAATAAGGTGCAACTTTGTAAAGAAAGGTCAAAATCTAGTACTTGTATCTTATAATAGTCTGTCGAACCTCGAACCAAATCAGAACCATTTTAAAAGATAAATTTCCTGACAGTTAATTGCTTTATAGCAGTACTACTGGTAGTATTAAGTTAAATGTCGTGTATCAAAATTTAACATAATTAATAAGAAATAGCACTTTTCCCACGTCACTAATTGTGTTAATTGTCTTTACTATTTAATATACAAGGTTATTCACGAGAAGCTCCATACCTAAAAGATTCAAGACTCAACCAAAAATACAATTTTAAAGTCATCTTTGATATATCATACCATTAAAAAAAATTGGTCGAAAGTTGTTTCGACAGAACTTCCCTGGCACCTAAAGTACACTGAAACATCCAGCATTTTCCAGTTGAGTTTTTTCTTTATACTATTTTGTGATGACGTCATCAACATGTTTGCAAAGACACGTATATCAACTTGCATTGGTGCAGTGTAATACTAAAAATAACAGTATTGTATTTCCAAAATGTTTTGGGAAAATGGAGTGAACCGTTCCTGATTTAATCAATAAAACATACTGTCTCATTCATTAATTTTTTTGAGCCACCTGTTTAAGCAAATCTAAAAAAAATGAATGCAACGATAAATTACAAGTAAAAACACATTTTGGGGTAGAATTTTTTCGGCAAAATTTTGAGTTGACAACATCAATTTTTTTGAACGAAATTAACAGGTATATTTTGATTAACAATCCTGCAATAAATTTAAAACGTCAGCAAGATTTCAAAGTATTCAGTTTTGCAATTCTTGATTTAATCAATAAAATAAATTGGCTCAGTTATTAATTTTTTGTGACACCCTGTATAAGCAAATCTAAAAAATATGAATGCAGTGGTAAATCACAAGTATAGACTCATCATATTTTGCACATTTAAGATTGCATTTGAGGTGACGTCATAAATTTTTTGGGGGATAAACAAATACATTTTGATGAAAAATTCACTGTTTATGATAACTTTAAAACATTTGCATGATTTCAGAGTATTCGGTTTTGCAGAATCAAAATTAAATTGCAAAATGTTGTTTTATAATTTTGATCTTTTTTCCAAAAATCTGGACGTTTCGGGTAAAAACTCAACACGGAGTCATAAACTACATGTGGAGGACTATGTTTTTTTATACAATTTAAAACCCATTTAATGTACTAAATAAATAAATATAATACAGTTTAATAAAAGTGTAAAGGTGCAGTCTGGATTCCTTAAATCTGATTTTAGCCGCATTATATTGATCAGTGAAGAAAGTGTACCTCCTACGGTTACACAGCAGGGGCTAAAATGAGACATTTTGGTTTATAAGTACTTATACCTAGTTACAAAACTGCTAGATATGTTGTTGCTGCACTTATATAATTTTAACTGTGTTTTCTATTTTTAAGGCCAAAAGTTCGCAATGCTGGAAATGAAATGCACAATTTCCAAAATACTTCGGAAATTCAAGTTAAAACCGTCTACTCCAGAACATACTTTGATATTGGCTGCGGAGTCAGTGTTGAAATCAGCAAATGGTGTAAAAATTAGTTTAGATTTAAGGCAGTAGCATTTTTAAAAAGGAAGTAAAAATTTGTAATGGGCATGGGATTTTGTACACATTCTTTTTATTAAGGTACCTTTGTTGACTTAGGAAGTTTATATGGCTGATACATATATAAATGATTCCTTTGTTAAAATATTATTTATTTAATTGTTGCAATATTTTGTAATAAGTATAATCACTTCAACAAACTAGCAAAATTAAGACGAACAAGGAGTAATTGTATAGATTTAAAAAAATATCCTAATCACATTATTCAAGCTACAAAAAATTGATAGACGTTAGATTTTTGTTAATTTTGGGTCTTTTTAAAAATTACTACATTTTTTAAATAAGTCTCAGTAATTTTGCTGTCTTTAAAATTAGGTGAGCACGCGGAAACTGTTCATCATCAATAAATTTTGTTTTTGAAGTAGGCATAAAAATTTCAAAAACATTTTGATATTTTAACAAATTTTGATAATCAGTCTCTTTAAGGTATTTTCTGTGTATAAATAGAGAACACGTAGACAAATAAACTTAAATTGTCACCAGTGAATAATTTAGATTCGTCAGTCAACCGAAAAAATTGTAAAATTATTTCATGACGAATTCTGCACCACACATCCTCATTTGTTAATGATCTAATGTTTTTTTTTAATATTTAATTTGCATTATTCTTCTTGTTCAAGAATAAACTCACACTAGGTATACGTTCGGGTTTTAAATTTACAGTTATATTCATTTACATATGTAATTAATAATTTTACGATTAATTAGCACAGATCTAACACAGGAAAATGAAATTCAGGACATAATATTCTATTTAAATAATAAAGGTAGCTGAAAAATTTAAAATAGGCAAAATTATATTATATATTCTTGAAGATAAAAATTTATGACAATTTTTACAAGATTTTTTGAGATAAAATCGAAGCGGATAATTTGTTTTTTTATCATGATTTTATACAAGATGTTATGTGATAATTTCAAAAGAATATTGACTGGAAAATGATCATCATCATCTAAGAAATTATCAGAAGGGCACCCAAGTTGATTGGAGAAACATCTCGAAGTAAATATGAAACAAACGTCAGCAGAATATTATATACCAGATTTCCAACACAGATTGAATACAGTATTCATATAAGAAATTACTTGAAGATTTTTTATGACAATTCCAAGATATAGTTGAGTGTGATATTTCAGTTAAATAATCAAAAGATAAAATAAATAATCAATAGATTTCATTAGCGAATTCAGATCCAAAATTGATTACATATTTTAGAACAAAAGGAATATCCCAAAATTGTCAAAACAAAGTTATAAAGTATTTATTTGTTGTACAATTATAAATAATGTTTTTATTTTTAAGTTTTTCACATCCATACCATCATGCGATGTAGAACTTAACGTACTTGGAAATGATGAGTTGGCAAAAATAAAACAACAGCGTCAGAAAAGCATAATTTAAATACTGTTTGAGTTTTCTTGCTTACTTACCATGCAAGTCACCTAATTATATAATAAGGTAGTCCGTTGTCTTTCCATAAAAAAGTTGTATAATGATACTCCTAATATTAGTTTGAAAATGAATCTGGTTGGAAGCGAACATTTTTAATGTAGTAAAAATGTTAGCAAATATCTTTTCGAAACTGTTTTGTATATCTTAACACTTTCATCAAACAAATATCAAAAAAAAAGCATAATAACTAATAATAATAAACATTTGCTAAAATATTAATTTATATGTCTGATTTTTTATATTGTCATTATCGAATTATTTTTCGTCTTCCAGTATTAAGTAGAGTATGTTTGATCTAAAGATCCGAATTTAAATAGAAAAAAATGGACCTAGTTTATTCACTGATAATTTAACAACTTTATTTGTTTACGCGTTCTCTGTATATTTAAAGAAACGTTTTTGAAGAAACTGAAAATCAAAATTTGTTAAAGTATCCATCAGTCCTCACAATTTTATCAGACTTAAAAAAAGGAATTTATTCATGGTGGAACTGTTTCCACAGTACGGACCCTAACTTCAAAGAGACCTAAATTACTCTGATTTATTTAAGAACTCTATTAATTGTTAAAACAGGTCGAAATTAAATACAATCCAGGAAAATAAAAAAAATCTACACGAATACTTCTTGAACTACAACTGGTATTCACATTCTTCTCACATATTGTATTTGCCATTTCTATTGAAATAGCACCTGTTGATTTTGTTTAAAATTTAGCAATTGGTATCAGCTTTCAGTTGATTGACGACGGCTTTTAGTTAGAAAATTGTCTGAATATGAACGTTGCCAAATTTACGATTAACAAGTGGTGTTTCAATAGAAATGGCAAAGGCTATAGTTCATAATTTTGTTAAAATTAATTGTTTAGAGGTTGTACATATCTGTTAATGGTTTTGTTATGATTTGCTATTAGGTTTAGATTTATTTTTGTTATCTACTTTATGTATTTAGGTAATATTTAAAACCAAACTTGTTTATTTATTTATGGCCTTTTTGTTAATAAACTGGTGCCATTTTTTCTTTAACTACTCCTTGTTCACACTGTTCTTTTTCTCCCAATTTTATGCTACGGTGTCTAAACTCGAAGGACCATGATAGGAAAACAATAATCCTCAGTGGCGAGTAAGACTAATAATAATTTGGTTCATAAGATGACCTTTCTTCTCAAATGAGGGATTTGGAAAAGCCAAAATCATAAAACCAAATTTACGTAGCAGGGACCCATTGTTATGCAATCAAATACCTCCACAAAGACGGTCATAATAGGAGTAATACACCTAAACTCGACCGTAGGGGTGCATCTTTAACTTGAAGTATAAAGGGTAAAGATCCAACCTTGCGGTCTGGTTTACAAAAAAAGTTTTTATAGATATTTAATTGATCTAGATAAAATACTCGTATATGTGACCAATAAGTTATTTGTAGAATTGTAGACAATGTTATATTGTTACATAGCAGCATTTTTCTTTCTAACTGTAGTCAAATAATTTAGTATTGTTGGCAACTCTGCATTTGATTGTGAATAGTGAGTGAATTTTTTTGTTTTTCTTTGGGCTTCGTGTAACGTGTGCTGATCAACTCCACCCCACAATTTTTTCCTATTTATGGAAGGCCAGAATTTAATCTAACCCATTAAATGCCAGATTTATTAAAGTAATTTTAATGTCCTTCCTTCCGAAGTAAAGGGATGATCATGATTTTGAGTACATTTTGTTTCTTCAGAACTGCATAAATCACAATACCGGTATGTGTACCTAACACAGTGATTGCCTGATCCTACCAAGGAAGACTACATTGTAACTCTTGGGAATTAATGAGGTTATAGTAGCCTGCATAGATATTGTAGCCGTCCATAGAGTCGAAATTTGCGAATAAAAACTGCACGCGCCGCATCACACAGGGGTGTATTTAAGGCCGATTGCACAAAATCTTAGAGTCACTGTAATCTTACTATTTTCTATCTACGACAAACGATTTGTCACACAGCTACGAAACCGAGAAAGATGGAAGTTTGAAAATGTATTTCAACAAGTGTAATAACCGTTTGGTGCAACGGAATTGGTTCAAGCAAAGTAAAATATGACAGGAAACAAACACTCCACGTGGACTAGTTTATAGCCGTGTTTGCTGCTAAGATGACCAGATTTTTCGCTCCACCTACCTCCGCAATGATGAATATACCATACCACAACTTGTGTACAGTGAACAGAGCTTCGTTTTTATTGACGAGATTGAGCTAAGAAATGAAACAGATTATATCATAGCGGAAAAGATGACATTTAATATTAAATACGTCTCTGTGCAACGTGTGCCAGAGTGACGTCAGAAGTTGCAAGCCACCGTCGGCTCCGTTTAAACCGGTTTTATTTTATTTTTATTCGCAAATTTCGACTCTATGGACGGCTACAATATCTATGCAGGCTACTATACCAAAGTTTAGAAGTGATTCCGAATTGAAACCAAGCAAGTAGAAGTGAAAACGTTCAAACAGTCATAATGAGTATGCGAGACTCCGCGACATATTCAAAAATAATTACCTACATGGTTATAGATTTAGAAGAAGAGACATTCTGCGTTAGTTTCCATTTTTTGCCAGCTGTAGCTTAGATTTTAGAATAAATTCTTGGATTCTGGAGTCATCTAAAAAAGCTTAAATTCAAAAATAGACACATGTTTTTCGTGAAATCTCTATAGAATGGATCTTTGTTTCATCAAATTTAGAACAGTCGGAGTATCCGCAAATCTTCTCCATTGTGAAAAAACGTATACTCCAAATGCTTGAGAGTGCTAGTCGTATTTTGTTATTTAATTGTAAATTAAAAAGTAAAGTCCTTGTGTTAAATAAAAAGAATTTGTGTTTTTGTAATACGCCTTAATCTTAACCTTGACGGCAGGACGTCGATAAATAAATACAAGTGAGTATGTTTTGCATATACTTTCCTCCTATCGTAGCAATAGGTGAATTTATAGCATTTCTAGATGAATTAGTTATAATAATAATATATATTATTATAATAATTAATAATGTTATTATTGAGTCCTCTTAGCAGGCTTACCAAAAGGTATAGTTGTATCTCTAATTTAAAAGAAACAGGTGAAGCGAGGAAGAATAAGATAATAGAAGACGTCTAGTGATAAGACGTTTTAGATTTCACAGCTTAAAATCGTGAGGCCATTTTCTTTTTAAATGCTATATTTCTTTATTTTTGATACTTTGCAATAAGTGAAAATGTCGACGCTGCTCTCTATTCTCTTGTAGCATTCCAGCATTTGGTATAAACTTGCAGCTCTCAGTGTATTGATCTTTGAAAATTTGTGCTCAAAAATCGTATTTTGTCCTAAGCTTTTCTTTGGAATTCTAACCTTTATCATTTCTACCAAACCTTCACACTTAAATTTGTAGTTTATAATTTTGTGTAAAAATCTAACATAAGCTAATTCGCTTCTGTCTACCAAGTTTTTAACGTCAAAGCGCTCATAAAGCATGCCATTCGAAATACCTCTAAGAGGGTAAACCCCATTTTGTTTATAAAGTGGGCTTCACACTACAGAGCAATATTCCAGTCGAGACCTTACATAACCAAAATAGAGAGACTCAGTAGTACAAACATCAAGAAAATCGCTAGAATTTCGAATGACAAATCCCAGGGATCTATATGCTAATTTAGAATCTGTCTAAGATCTTCAATAAAATAAGTTTGCTATCAAATGTTAAACCAAGATCACAATCAAACTCCGGTCTTTACAAAACATATCAATCCAAATTATAATCAAATAATAATCTTTTCTTGCTAAAAGTTTCAATAACACACTTGTCTCGATTCAGTAAGATGATTATTGATAGACCAGTTAGTTATACCGTGAGGTTTTTTTTTTCTCTGAACATAGGAACAATGTTAAGCTGGTTGCATACCTGCTTGTAATAGATTGACTTGGACTTTAACAACTGAACATAAATATCTAATCGAGATTTAAGATATGTCAAAGATATTGCCTTTGACGTTTGGCACTACTGTCTTCATGTTAAGGTATTGTAATAAACACAAGTTTATAGAACAGAAAATTTACGTTATTGACCTTTTTAAAAAGTTTCGTCAAAAATTTTACTGTAAATGTCATCGTTGACATGGCCTACTCCTCAATTATTACGAATCTTATGTGATCTTATGTTCAATATCACAAATTTAATAAAAACAACGTAAAATCTGAATTAAAGTAACTGGATGCAAATACACAAGTTATTACGGGCGTGTGGCGTCAAATTTAAAGTTACGGCAGTTAACAGGAGCACAACAAAAGTATTCCTGGGGCGTTCTAACATAAGCGGAGTTTGGGGCTACCGGTTCGGGCTGGTGTCCCCCGCGACGGTGATTCTATCTATCGGCAAACCTACCGCACAGCATCCCTCCATTACGAACATGCCGTCCTAACCAGGCCGTTTCGGTCGAAAACTAGGGGTGAAGTCAAGCTGACAACACCTCATCGTCCAGACCATTCCCCACTGAATCTATTCAAAGCCTGCAACCCTTGTACAGATGGCGCGATAAATCCCGACGACCACCACTAGGAGCCGCGCCCTGCGCTTCTGCTACGTTTTTCAGGGTTATTTAACCTCAGTTCCATTTTTAAATGTTCAATTTCTTTTAACTCTGATATTAATAACAACTGAACAAGTGTTAAAGTCTCAAAAGAGCAATAAACAACATTTAAGTTCGCCATACAATCTTGTGAAATTTTCAACAACAAACAATTCTTATTTGAGATCAAACTTGGACATCAAATAATTTATATGATAGAAACATTCATCAACAAAGTATTTACAAAGCAAAACTAGTAAAGATTTATGAAAAACGAAAGATCTGGTGAGAAATAAACTTGTGCCAATTGAAATATTATGTGAGGTTAAAACTGTAGAGCATGAAATTTACGTTCAATTAAAATTATACAACGAAGAAAATTACTGAAGTTAAAATTGTGAGATAGAGAAATATTTTATGAGGTGAAAATTTGCAAAGTTAACATAATTTACATTAGATTAATAAGTATTTGCCACACTTTATCAACGATTCAAACAAAGAGTTTACATTATGTCAAATTATACCATGATCTAAGTGATTGGTTACTTAAAAAAAAACAATTTACTTTCAGAGTTTAGCATACCGCGAACTGGTTACCCCAACGAAACACATAATAAACAGACACAAAAATATCCAATCATCGTTGCGAGGAAAAAAGCGTCTCGGTGATCTAGTTTTATTGTTGCGAGGAATAAGCCTCGTTGATGTTATCAATCTCTAGCGTTGCGAGGATATGCCTCGATGAAGTAATCAATCTGTCGCGTTGTGAGGACAAGCCTCGATGATGTAATCATTCTTTAGCGTTGTGAGGACAAGCCTCGATGATGTTATCAATCTTTAACGTGGTGAGGACATGCTCCAGTGATGTGATCATGATAACGATGATAATAACGATGATAACCGCTTAAGAGAAGAAATTATTTTAACCCCCCGCCAGTTCGCAGTATGAATTTTGTTAATTTAACTGGCGTAAATGTACTATTAGCAATCTTGTGTGAAGAATTCAGAAGTGTTATAATGTAACACTTACGTATATGCATCAAGAAACCTATTCGTAAATAAAGAACAAAGGTGTTTTCCTGACTAAATGAATTTCATGAAATCTTCTAGCACGTGGTTTATTTAAATAATCCTGATTGTTAAATTGTGTTAGCACTAGCTGACGATTAAGAAAAACTAACTCGATTGGTGAATTTACAAACAATAAAACAAATTTACAGCACGTGTTGCGCGTTGAAAGATCGCATGTTTTTTTGGTTAGAAGCCGCAAGAATTAGCCGCGCGGTTTGGGGAAAACTGTGTCATCATAGAAATTACGATTGATTGTCGTTAAAGAAAGGTTTCCTCCCTTTAATTAACTACCAAACCACTTAAAGCGTCTTTTCACCATGCATCTACTATACACCGAACAGAAAGATA